TACTACTCTACTACTCTACTACTCTACTACTCTACTACTCTACTACTACTCTACTACTACTACTACTACTACTACTACTACTACTACTAGTAGTGCTACTGCTGCTGCTGCTGCTGCTACTACTACTACTACTACTACTACCCGGGTCATCGGTTTCCTTTTTTGGAAATGTTTTTGGTTTTGGTTTCCTGGTTTTGGTTACCGAATCAACGGCTTTAGTTACCGAATCAGCGGGTTTTGGTTACCGAATCAGTGGTTTTGGTTGCCGAATCAGACGTTTTGGTTACCGAATCAGACGTTTTGGTTACCGAATCAGCGCTTTTGGTTACCGAATCATAGTTACCGAATCAGACCGTTTGGTTACCGAATCAGACGTCGACCATGGGAGATGAGTCGAAGAGTGACCTGAGAAGACTGGCAGACTGGTCTGGCAAGAAACTTCTGGGTGTGGTTCCATAATTTTCGACAAATCCTCTGGAGTGAAGACAGAAATGAAGAACCCCCGAACCCCCTTTGCCGCACATCTGTGTTGCAGGAATGGCTCATCGCCAAGGTCGCAGAGAAACTCTCGGCCTTGGATGCACTAACACTGCGAGCCGCCTCGAAAGGCCGGACAATGTCCAACCCCGTCGAAGCACGTGGTCCGGCTCCGCAAGCATGCAAAGCACCGCCGTTTCAACGCTTGAGGATATGCCCCGAAAAGAACAACACCAGCTCATGGCCTCCCTTCCCATCAACCTTGGAGGGTCTTTGATGTGCCAAAGATCCATTTTTGGCGCTGCCAGCATTCCTCCCGGCCCGAGCGTGTGGAACGCTGATTGCAGGCCTCCAAAAGGTGGCAGAGCCATGGTTGCAAGAAGCGGCTTCCTGGGCTTCCTAGGCAATGTTTGGGACTGCTCTAGGCACCCAAACCACAGAAGATGAATCGGGTGCGCCAACCTTTTCTTCCGCAACCGGCAACCGGTTCCATGTCAATCCAAGAAGATTGATCTTTGAGCTCGTCCTTCTTGGCTTTGCATAGACTGGATAACTGACATGCTTGGACATTGAAGATTGACTGGCGCACACTAAATGGGAACCGTGCATGCTTGGCTCCAGATGCCCAAAGTGGTACTTTAAAGTTTCAAGCCTGTTAGTGCCATGAGAGCCAATGGGAAGCGTTGTGACCCACTGCTGTCGCAGGGAAGTTCCGGATGCAAATGATCTGAAGAATGATCGGCCGGTCATCACGGGGGGTCTCCTCAGTGGGGCTGCACCGCCGGCTCTTCTTCTGCAGACACCGCTCGAAGTGGAAAGATGTCACTTGGGACTTTGGAACTGTCGCATTGGAATGGATTGTTGATGCTTTGCCCAAGTGTGCGAGGGGTAGAGGACGGGATAGGAAGCAGCCCCTCCATCTCTCACTGATTGCTTTTGAGCGCTCTCCGCCTCTCCGCTTGTTAGGTGATGAGCCGCGTGCCGTGCGGCCCAAAACCCGCACCTCCTTTGCGGCTGGGCGCTCAGTTACGGAGCAGCTTGGCTTCAGCCTCTATGAGGCTTTGCCATCGGAGACGCAGTGGCTCAACGAGGCAGGTCCGAGTGAATTTGAAAAGCAAAGGCAAGAAAAAAGACAAGACAACAAGACAACAAGACAAGTACTGTAGCTATTCAAGCATTCCAAAATCCACCATCGCTAGATGGCTATGATATGCCAGGACATGATGAGGGTTCGGTTTCGACTAAAATTATCGAAAGGAAGGGGGCTTCCACAAAGTCTTCAATACCAGCGTGGTAGAACTTGTTCCTCTTCCTTTGAAAACGATTCCAAAGAGGTTCCAAACCTTCACTCAACCTTCTCAAGAGATTCGAATCCTTCAGATGGTAATGAACTCTTCAAAACTGTTAGGCTGAACTGAACTGTTAGGCTGCAACCTACCCGACCTGAGACCTGGCTGCAAGGGCCACCCCACCAATCCGAAGAGCCGTGCACAATTTTGGAGGCGGTGGATCGTTTGTGGGAGTACATCGAGCAGGCCATTCGAAAGCTGCTCCAAGAAGATATCACCAAGAAAATCCGTGAGGATTCTGAGCAGTCTTTGCTGAAGACGTTTGAGTTCACGAGCTGCAATTTTGGGCGGGCCCGGCCGAAGTTCGGGCAGATGAAGGTCCGGTCCAAGGCGGGTGTGACCAACCAACCAAACGAGTAGGTCCTACTAGCGCAATATAAATACATTTGAAGGCACAGCATGTTGGCAAAGTTTGACAAGCTGGAAGCAGGTCTGTCATGGTTTGTGTTTTGCTTGATCAACGGTGTTGCTCATCTTCCGTAGCTCACTCCAGTCGCCTCATCTAAGGGGAACTTGTTGGAGTTTTTCCTTGAGCTGGATTGGGATGCTCCCGAGTCTGACATTGCAGTGACCTGTGAAGATGGTGGCAGTTGTTTTACGTTGTTGATATTTTTCTCTGTGCCTGTGACTGTCGTGATGTGTCTTTCTCCATATGTATATATATATATTATATACTAGCTCCCCCCAAAAAACCACCTTACTAGTGGCCTTGGATGCAATCATTCAAACATTGATATTACTGCGTTCAGATAAAAGAGAGGCACTAAACATGTTTTTTAAATTGCAAACTATTTAAAATATTTGAACCATTCAATTTAACATTTAGTCAATATTTTAAATATGTTCAGAATCTTTTATATTATACTGAATATTTAGAATATGGAACATTTTATTGAAATAGAATTTAACTTGATGTTGTATTTTCTTTTAATTATTAATACTAAATTGACTCCTGAAATTGGCAACCCTCTTGAATTCAATATTACTTTTATAACATCTAAATACCTCACCTTTAAAACACATTCAACATATGCTTGTTTATTTTGAATGAGGAAGAAGACTGTGGCCCTCAATCGAATTATTTGTGTATAGTCTTGACGGAAGAGAACACATGTATATTATAATATATATATATATAACATAACTTATAACAATATGATGGTCATGGTGATATGCTTTAGAAACGGGCTTGGGGGGTTGAAGATGCAAAGAATCAGAACTTCAGAGATGTGGTCGGGATGTCGAAGAAGTCCTTCATGTGCAAGATGGGGCGCTGGGGGTCGTCATCCTCCGTAGATGGAGGGGGTTGGCTGCCACTTCAAGCCCGATCATCAGCCAGAGCGCCACTTCAAGCCCGTGCTTCAAGGATTGCAGCCACCGACTCACAGTTTCCTGCAGGAAAGCAGCCAGTACATCGCTCAGGCACCCGCTGCAAAGACGCGCCGCAACTAGCATCAAACGCCCTTGCCCCTTGCGCTGCCAGGTCGTTTTCCACCACAGTCGGCAGTGGGCTGACACACTCACAAACATTTTGCTGCAAGGGGTCGGGACGTAGGGCATCCCAGCAGCGTCCTCCACCATGGACCTGGCTGACCGGCTTGGCCCGATGCCCTGAGTATGATTCTTTGAAGCGCCCCCGGCGGGGGCTCATAAACACACTTCAAAAGTGTTCAGAACTGGCACTTTGGAAAGGCTCAGATTTGAAGCAGTGGAATGTGTGCATTGTTGATGTCAGGTTTCCTTGGGGTCAATGAAGCTGGGCATGCAGCATCTCAAACTCACTGGCTCTTTGCTGTTGGTTTTTTCGCCCTTGTTGCTTGGCAGACTCCGCAAGTTGGGAGCACGATGGAGCATGTCATGTCAAGATTTTGGCGGAAAAGAGTTGGTTAGCGTGACTTTGCGGGATTTTTTGAGGTGGTGCTGTCACCTTTCAAACCTTTTTGGAGTTCTGAATTTGTGACTTCCTTCTGTGTTCAGGGGTGACGCCCAAGGCCTCGCAAATTTTCAATCCCTTTGTGGATCAGACACCCCGCTGAGTGCGAAGTGGATGAACTTGAGGCTGGAAAAACTGCCCTTGGTCGGTGGCCTCAGTGTGACCTTCCCCGACATCCCAGAGTTTTCCTGGACCTGGACTGGCTCGGCGGGCCTGGGCATCCGCAGCATCGCTGCGACGTTGGACCAGGCGAGTGACCAGGAGAGAGTGGGGTCACCAAAGACCAGAACCCAAAGATGTGGGGATCCTCATTCTTTAGTGAATCTAAATCATAGCCTCGAAGGTAGACAAGTGTGCAAAAGCAGATGGGTAGGATAAAATTGTGGTGAACGAAGTGAAGTAGAGGGAAGAGCTTGCGCAGAGAACTGGAAGGGGTAAATGATGTAAACAGTTTCCGAGTTCTTGGTGAGCTGGTGATGCAATTTCCAGGCTTGAAAGAAGGGGCGTGTGTGTAGTCTTGTGTGAAAAAATGGCCCTAGCTTTGACCGCCTTTTAAAGGTGATTGAACGCCGGGTTTGGGCTAGAACCCCTTTGCTCGGAATTGGTCCACAGTTCTTCTTTAGTCCCAATCGCAGTACACCACAAGAAAGGCAATGACATGGTTTAATTGTCCACCAAGAGGGACACATCGCAAAGACCAGCATAAAGTGTCTCTCGAATGTGGCTGCTTCGCAGCCAAAACAGCTTGGTTTGGTGTTTGGGGAGTTTTTGTTTAGGGTGCCCACGGCCATAATTCGTGAGAAGAAACGTGCATGTGAAGGATGCAACTTCAAGGTCACCCCAGACCAACGAAGATTGAGGCATCAAGGACTCCACGGAGTTCATAGTTTTTGCATGTTTTTGCACTCCTTGGCTACTTGGGCCATGCTTCTGTTGCAATGAGAGGGTGCCAGGCTTCCACTCGATTTTCAAGACAGGGCTTTTGACTTGTGCAGGTCATGGCTTTGGACATCAACAAAAAAATTGTCCAGGCCATTTTTGAACAGTTAGTGGTGCCAAATCGAGCCGCTTGGCTGGTTGAACAGATTTGTTCGAGTAGCGTCAACAATGCAAGCGGGAAATGAGGAGTCAAAGTGAAGGGTAAGAATATGTAAGAATCATAGATTTTGCAAAGACCAGAGTTCCAAAGCCAAAGTTCCACTTTCCTTTGGCCGGGCAGGAGTTGTTTGTCGTTTCAGAGCCTTGAGGTTTACGTGGACATTGCCCAGTTGGCGCAGGAACGACAGCTGCCCAAGGAAGAGCGCATTGAAAACTATCGCTCACCTGACCCAATTGGCGTGCTTTACATTACGATTTGGGAGGCGCGGGACTTGCCTGCAGCGGATATCAGCTTGCGGGGCTCCTCCTCAGATCCCTATGTGGTGGTGAAAGTGGGAAACAACAGTTGGCAAACAATCAAGAGGACCCGAACCTTGAGACCAGTTTGGGGTCCGGCGCATTCCATGGATTTTTTGGTCTTTCACATGGAGCAACACGTTTGTGTCGACGTCTTCGATTCCGACATGCTGAGCTTCGATGACTTGCTGGGATATGTGTGCACGACGAACACACGCAGACCTAGGATCTCAGATGTCATTCCAGAGGTTGGCGAAGAAGACACCCGAGAGTGGGATTTGCATAACAAACATGGCAAGTTGGGAGGCAAGCTGAAGATGACATGTCGTTTTCGAGAGCTCCGAGACATCTCAGAGCGGGCTTTTGTTGAGCCTCAGTGGTTAACCTGCAACAACTGTCAGGATCCGCTGCAGGAGAGCAAAAGCCTCAGAGCCTGCTCCTTGTGTGGCAGTCGTCCTTCGTCCCAGTTTCTAAGGTGTGGCAGTTGCTTCTCGGCCAATGATGCGCGCTTTGAGTGTGCCAAGGACAACTTCCGCTGTTGTTCTCAGTGTTGGCAGGAGCGTCGTCCAGCAGCAGCCATGCTCCGGGTGTGTCTCAGAGAGGGCCTGGTGCCTGCGGATGACGTTTTAGATGGTGCCGGCGTGGCGCTTGGAGTCAAAGTGGAAGGAACTACCCAGTGGTCAGCTCCTGGAGTGCGACCCACCTACGACAACATGGCAGAAAAGTCGGAGGCACAGAGGTCCGGCCTCTTGCAAAGGGTTTCCTGGTTCACTGTTCAATTTCTCCACATGACCATATAAATAAAAGAATCTCACCAATGAAAGGGTTGATCATTTTGAGAGTTTGTTTAAGGCTCTCCCTACAGGAGAGTTTTCCACCGACTTTCTCTGGAGAGTTTCCCACTCATTGCACCCAATATGATTTCACCAAAACTCACATCCAGATCGGGCAGAGACTTCTTGCCAATCGACTCCACTCAAGCCCCCGCCACTTTTGTTTTGATTGCTCGGGAGGTGGATCCGCAACCTCTGCGAGAGCTTCGACAAAGCATCTGTGGCGAAGTGTCTGGAGATCTCCGCCGAGCAGGCGACTTGGGGTTGCGGTGACCCGGTGACCGGGTTGGTTTTCGCACGGACGGGGCTCGTGTTTGTTCTTGAAGTTTTGTACCATGAAGACTACAATGGTCCTCATCTGAGAGTGATTTGCTTCTACTGTAGGTGGTCTGTTGGTTCATGGATTGCCAGGTGCAGGAGGCAGTGAACAAGGCTAAGGACAGGGACGAGACGAGGGCGTCTGACCTCATTGGCCATGAGGAGCGAGCCCGGGATGAACGTTTTGTGTCACCGACTTGAACCAGGAACTGTGAGAAGACAATGTCTTGTGAGATTTGCTAGAGGGAAACTGTATTGTGATTATTAATTGGCCTGATATCTATCTTTAAGGCACTTGTGTGGAGTAGTATTAGTGTATTGTCTGTATCGTGTATTCATTTTTTGTGAGTGCATGCGAGTGCCCTTTGTCTGATTTCTGACCAATGACAACAGTATGTTTTTTTTTTTGTGATTTTTTTTTCCGTTTCTTTCGAAGACAAGGCGGTGATTTGGGATCATGCCTTGCACTTCTTGGTTCGTGATCCCCACGAAGAGCTCCAAGCGACGGTGATCTACCAGGGAAAGTCCAGAACTGCAGATCAAGTTCCCTTGTTCCCAAAGAAGGTCAGGGAGTCCTTGCGGGTGAGCAGAGGCGACCGAGGTGGGAAAGCGTGGTTTTTGGGAGAAGAAGCATGTTGAAGCGGTGCGAGATTCAAAGATTTTTGGATGTGGTTGCAAGAGGCATGTGTGGCTTCCGATTCATCGATGATATGGAAATCTTTGGAAGGAAGGCTAGGAGTGTGTGAACAGATTCATTGCTACTACTAAGACACGCGTCCTGTTGTGGAGGTGCCGCGCGTGCTGATCGCCGTGGATTGCCGATGTCAGAGGAGCCGCTGGAAGTGACTTGGACCATCAACCTGGATTCCGCTCGGACGGCCAGCATTTTTGCAGATGTTGCCCTCCATGGACTCCTTCCACTCGGAAGCACCTAGAAAGGAGGCGATCTTTCTCGCTGCACAAGAACACCCTGCTTTGGATGAACATGGACCTGGTCCTCCCATGGGGGGTAATGTGTTTGTGACAAATTTCATAAGAAGGACTCGAGCCATGAAATGAGTGACTGGGGTCTTTTTCGGGTCGCACAAAGGGGCGACCCAGCCCTCCAAATGCGCAGAAAACGGAGACGGAGGCGCCGCGGCGAAAACATACTCTGCAGCGTCGCCAGAAAAAGACGGGCCAAGCCAGGAGTATGGTGTCCATGGATTTGTGTTTCTTGGTTCAATCCAAATTCTGGCAGTCGAGATGTGCAACGGAGGATGTGAGTCTTGAGCATGGCCGATCTTGACCAAAATTTGGGCAGGCGAGCATTTTTCGGAACACAGGCAAAGGACGGGTCTTCCGATCTTCTTCCATAATCAAGTGGGTGCGGGTTTGAGGAGCAGCGGAACAGTGAGTTTCTGCACGTCCTTTGTTCACCACTTGACCCACACGGGTCTGCCTGGAAACTCAAAAAGACCACTGAAAAGTTGGTCCGTCTTGCGAACACCTTGGAGCCGGTCCGTCTTGCGTCTGCCACTTCCACCTCGCTGGCCGCTGAGGCCTCCGTTTGTCAGAGCCTCCTCACACAGCTGCTGCCGGCGGAGACCGAGACTTCCCCGGAGCTCCTTGGAGGTCTCCGGGCTTGGCGTGCGCTGGTGCAGGCACTTGCTCACCTGGCCACCTGTGGCCCATCAGAGGGTTAAACCATGATATATAGATCCATTCTGTCTACCCCCTTCCAGTTGGAGCGCCTTTGGTTTTGGACTTAAACTGCACCTTACCAACCTTGCCAATGGAAAACACGCGTGCATTCTTTTTGACTTTTGGATTCCTCTTTTCTGTAACGGTACAGTGACATGATCTGATGGCAGGCTCATGCACCCCCCCAACTTGTGTGCATCGGCGGCTACAACTCTATGTGGAACCGGCACGAATTTGTGCTGCAAGAGGGCGCCCCTTGGCCTTGAAAGCTAACGAGCCGAACATGGAGGCACCCGTAAATCATCGTAAATCATCGTAAATCTACAGGGTCATCTTGCAAAACATGGTGGACAGTGTTTGTTTGGTGGCAAACATGTCTGGGACAGACTGCGGTGACAGATCTGTGGCGCAGAGGGCAGCCTTGGTCTCAAGGGTGAAGTTACTGCAGTAAAGATTCTGTGATTGTTTTCATTCGTTTCTGGACGGAAAGCAACCAATTCTCCCAGTTTCTTGTTTGGGATTGAAGTGCCACACTTGACTCGTTGCCATCGGCTGGCTGAAGCCACGAAGAAAGTGCGAGACGGTCAGCTGAGGATGTTCCATGTTCTGATGAAATTCATCTTGTCTTTCGCATTCTTCCTTCACTTTTACCAAGGATGCCAGAGGTTGCGAAGATTCATCAGAGGTGGTCTGCTCCCTGAGAGGCCTAGGGGAAAAAGTGTGGAGACTTGTTGGGCGTTTTGCCGACAGCACACACACACACACACTCTCAGTGTCAATTGAATTCATAGAAACAACACACGAACAAACATCGAATTTGGAAGGGCCCTTACCATCTTTTAGCAACCATTTTCCAGGTTTGAGCGACTCACTTTGCATTCTGCAGCACACCGAGTGTGCTGACGACATGCAGAGCCGACACACTTATCACTTATATAATGACTATATAGTAGTCACTACGCCTGCGGATGTATCACATCATGTTTGGGATTGTTTGGGCCTGCCACCTTTGGGCCGCCCTCCCCGACAAACCCATGAAGCTGAACTCATGTGCCCTTTGGCAAAAGAATGACATCTTTGCCTACGTCACTTATGCTGCCCATTGCTTGGGGTTATCCGCACTGGCTTGTTGGGTCAAAGGGACTTTGACATGGACATCTTCAAGTAGTAAAAAGGACGCTATTAGGTGGAGGCCATCGCTAGTAGGTTGGAGGCCATCGCTAGTAGGTCGTGCTTCACTTTGTGAAATAAGAGATGCCCCTGTGGTAGGCGCTGAAGCCAGCGATCGATGGCGATGCATTCTACCTCCCATGCAGCAGAAACGAGCTGACGTAGCGGTCTTTTGCCCCAGCATCGGATCGAAAAGTGCGAGACTGTGATCCGGAGTCAGTGGGGGGACCCCAAGTACGTTGACCGATTATATACTGTAGATGGCCCAGAAACGTGGTGTTGGAATGAAGGAGCGAATCAAGCCGAGGTTACCCACATCGACATAGGATACATGATACATGTCTCGAACGGGCAGTGCCCGGTGAAAGGCGAATGGGTTCGCAACCCTACTTGTTGCGGCAATGAAACAACACATACCTAGGTGCAATGCTGAGGTGGGCTTGCAATATCGTTTGCCTTTCCAGCGTTCCCATGTGGTGCGTGTGTTCAGAGTGCAACAAAAAGCACATCGATTCACTGGTGGATGAGTAAACCAGCTGAATGCCCGAGACTGATCGAACGTCGGGAGAAGTCTTTGAGCGCGAGCCTCTTAGACTCCTACCGAAGCGAAGGAAAAGACAGGGCCTTGCATCCATGAACTCCACACGCGTGCCGAGGGAGGAGCGACTGAGGTCGTCGGCTCCTCTCCAAAGATTTTATTCGCCCTTGGTGGCCGCCCAATTGCATGGAGTGACGGAGACGACTGTTAGGCAGAGCGGCAATCACAATCAATTCCTTAGAACCCTTCGCACGAATACATAGACCCCCAAATAGATACGTAGAAAAGTAAAGTCCCTTTCGAAACGTAATGGAAACCGTGCCACTATCTATTTGGGGACCACTATATATATTATTTTTTGCAGGGTTTGACGACAGGAAAGTGAGCAAACCCTTGAAGCAATGGGATGAGATATATTTGTTATGTATGTATTTATATGTATCAGTGTATCAGAGCTTTCGCACGCAGTGCATGAGTGACATCAAAGAACCTGAGGTCGCAATGGGGAGCAAAGACATGCCTCTGTTGAGCGGCTAGACTTAGTACAGTGGCAACTCCACGGGCAAGGCTGGGAAATGATGCGGCTTGGCAGGAAAGTAGACTGAACATATGTGGGAGGGCACATGATGGCTCATGATGGCTGATTGATGCATTGGCGCATCATGCGTCCAATTGCAGAGCGAAGACCCCAAACTACTCCTACCACCCTCGCATTCGCTGATTTGGAGAAGATCGCCGTCTCTCTTCCGGTCGAAAAAAGAACGAGCTCGACTGTCCTGGAGTGAGGCCACCCATGCTGCAAGACCGTTCTGGTTTAGCTGTCACATGCCGGCATATTGAGAGGAATTGGAGGTCGAGTCTTCAGTCCATATGTATTTTAGATTTGATGCATGAGGCCTTTCGATGCATTTTGGCCAAATTGGCATTGCAGCTCGCTGCTGTGTGTAAAAGTGGTTTTGAGTCCAGTGTGCCAAAGACCCAAGAACGTTTTAGCTGCAGAGATTTTTCATAGCAAAGAAGTTCTTGAGAGTTCGACGATGCGTCAAACTGTTTGTCAAGTGGGTCACGATCACTGAGGCTAGTGTGGTCGCAGAGGGCCTTGTTGTAGCGGGTGGCCGTAGCAGCTTGAAAGGTGTGCTGAGGCAGGAGGTTATGACGCTATGTCGCAGTCTCGAGTTTTTTAGCAGGAGGGATTTGAGCTTTTGCTCTGAGATTCTTGCGGTTCACGGGTATCCTAGGTCTTAGGATAAACATGCAGGTTGGAGGTGATTGTGTCGATGATAAGAGGGCAAGCCTCTTTTCTTGTCGGGCGACATGCCTTGCTTCGCCCACTCTGAGAGAGATAGGCCAGATAGGCAGGCTAGTTGTTCTATGTTGTTCTTTCATTCATGTGGGCCACCAAAGCCCAGGTGACGTCTTGGTTCCATTGTCCAAGTGTGATGCTACTAGGAGCAAGGACGCTACTAGGGGCTCCTGGCCTTACTACTAGGAGGAAGCTACTAGGAGCGGGATGTTCACTCCGCCCAGGGATGCTGAATACTGCGACCTTCGGCATGCTGGTTCCTTTGTGCCAATTTCCCCGATGCATTCGCCGCGCCCGGACCTCGGGTGTGGAATCGGACCGGAACGGAGATCCTCTGAGCGGAAGATGTCATCGTGGATGGAACAAGATTTGGTAGAAACAAGAAGCTACGAACGGGGCTCTTGGCATCGCTACTAGGAGCAAGGACCCTACTAGGGGCTCCTGGCCTTACTATTAGGAGCAAGGACGCGTTTAACAGACTTCTGAGATCTGAAACTTGTTCGCAGGTGAATATGCTGCGGCTGCGGCAGTGGGAGATGAATTCTGGGTGCCTGAGAGTTGATTCGCCAGAGTCACTGCGCGTCTCCAAGACTATCAGAAACCGTGCCATCATTCTGCCAAACGAAACGTTTAGTTTAGTCCGCCCATCGCGCCTTTTCACTCCTTTTCAGGTGTTCACTTGCTTTTGGTCGGGATCCACGTTTTTGCCGGGTTTTAGCTTCCACTTCCACTTCCCAACGCCAGGTGCTGGGTGGTGGAGAAAATTGTCGAAGTAGCTCCGTGGAGATTTGGGACGCTGGTGCCAGCCATTGGCGACCAGGTCCAGAGATGAGGCACGGCATGGCTCGCCAATGGCTCTTTCGATCGGCTCGCTATGGACGTTCACCGTTGATTTTGCATCGGCTGATAGAGTCTTCACTTCACAATACTTCACAACTTCACATTATAAAGCCCGACGGAGAAGTCCAGTTGCAGGGAAAAGCGCTATGGCGCTAGTGCAGTTTGGCATCATGGCCGGCTTTACGTGGTTGGAGGTAGCCATCACTTCAGAAGCTTGGAAAGGTTTGAGCCGTCTCTTTTGCCTCACGAGTGGAGGAGGTCCAAAGTACTTCATCATGCTCATGAAGGAATATGAATGTTATCCTGGATTTAAAGGACTTTCTACATGACACTGGCTGAACGGAAATACGTCAACGCGGATGCGCCACCCGAGGGTTCCCATGCTGGGGGGGCGACCGATCCATTTTCGTTCGATCAGGAAAACGGAAGCTCTCAGTGCTGGAGTCCCTGGATCCCAGAGAAGGTCTCTGGGAATGCTACGACTTGCAAGCGCTTGATGGGCCGGGGTACCAGCAGGAGCCCCAGAGAATTATCTTAGCAACGATGGAATAGCTGAGCCGGAATTTTTATCAACATGACAAAGCTTTGCCCGAAGCTTCTAATTTTCGACAGAAGACACTGAGAAGACGCTGAGTCTCACTTTGCAGGTGTCCCAAAGTTGAGTCTCCTTCTAGTAACACGTGCCACGCTAGTAGTAACAGGTGCCTTACTAGTAGTAACAAAAAGCTATTAGAAACAAGTGCCTTACTACTACTAGTAACAAGTGCCTTCTAGTCAACTCATGTCATGATCCAGAAAGAAGGATCGGCCCAAGAGATCAGGAAGGGGCACCTTCTCAGGGTGCTAAGCGAGTTCAGGGAGAAACATGGACATTGCATTTATTTGCCGCATTGGTTTGATAGTGGGGCAACTAATATGAGTTGTTTGATATGGAATCAGGAAGTTGCTCATGCTACTGGGCAACTAGTCTATGCGAGCACCCGTGACCACTCCGTTTGCCACTGCAGGTCCTCTCTTTGGGGTACTGGGGTTGCAGCGCTGGATGCTTGGTGCAAGCCATCCATATTCTGGGCCTCTGACCGGACCCACGACGACGGGTGTTGTCGAGACCAAAGAGCTCAGGGGTCTCGCAGGGCGAGTGGCGTGAAACTCTATAAAAGTTGGTTTCGGTGCACCAAGTTCAATAGGACGACCAATTTCATCACATGTCCCTCCTCCGAATGACAATTTGACTCGAGAACCTAGACAGCTGCACTGACTCGGCATGGACCAGGGCTGCGGAGCTTGACAAGCTCAAAGTCCCGAAATCACCAGGTTTTTTTGTCGAGGGAGGCGCTTTCGATGGCATCGCTCGCTGAGGATCAGTCTCTCTATATTTGTGGAGGGGCATTCCGCGATTTAGAGGAGTCATTGACCACTGTCTACAGACTCGATTTGCTTCTTGCAGCATTAAGATGGGCCATGCCTGATTATATGTTTGAAAGAAGTCCAGAGGTCCATACCCACTGATGTAGACACCTACAAAGGGTTTGAAAAGGACACCATGACAAGGAAATCCTTACGACATGTAGACATTGAGTTGTTTGATGAGATTCATTGCTCTTTCCCAAGGCGGACGATGCAGCTGAGCAGGCTGAACCGCGAAGCGCCAGGTGCAGCTTGCCTCCTGCAAGTGCCGCGCTGGTACCCAAGCAGCAGCTAAGGCAATTGGCATCTATGAATCTGACAGATTTGACTTCATCCAGTTTGTGTTCTATTGTGGGAACTGTTGGGGTTTGGCGAAAAAGGCAAAATGCGGCTGGTTGCTTGACATCCAAATCTGCAAACCGCCATCTATTTTCTGTGGGAGCACCCTGGAAAGCTTTGGACATCCCCATGCTGTATGGCCCATTGAGTTTAAAGCTCCTTCCGGATATGGTGGACGAATATTTTTCGTTCCCCTGGTGGAAACCGTGCAGAAAAAGTCGGTCCCCGGCTGTTTTGACTGAGGTGCGGAGGAGCCTGTATTGTACGGATGCCCAGAGATTCGTGCGTTTAGCGCTAGTGATGGGAGATGGAATTGAACACTTATTGTTGTAAGGCACTTGAACACTGCTTGGGGGGGAGTCAACACTTTGCTTCCCTTGCCTTGTATCCTCTCAGATGGTCATTGTCCAAGAATGTTGATTACAGCAAAATGAGTCAAATGGTCAGCTTAAAAGCCCCATGAATGAAATCATCAGGACCAGTCATCATGGACCGCACTTGGGAGTCATTATTGGTTGGTCGGACATAAGTGGTATCTAAGAGTGGATGACGATTGTGCTTTGTAAGAAGCTTTTGCCCCAAAATAGTATGAATCATGTCTTTACAAACTGCTACTGGCAAGGGCATTATTGATCCACCCTCCTTTGGGTCCTACACGCACAGTTCAGCTGGCTCTTTTCCGGGCCAAGGTGTGAATTTGAACACTGAGTACTGAGATTCCCGGCAATCAGGGCACGCTTACGTCAGTGTTCGTGTCAATCAGGCGGCAGTGCGATGGGACTGTGACAGAAAGGCTTGCACAGGGTACCGTGCGCATCATGTGCCCTTTTCACCACGGATCCTACACGGATCGGCCCAAGTAGTACGGATGTTTGGATTCTTTTGATGTAACTCCAGTCTCGCAGCTTGCAATACAATGACCGAGATTGCGGTACCATGACTGAGATTGGCTCATGTGACGCCAACTTGCATGCGAGCCGTCGATATGAGAGAGAGTGAGATAGATAGATAGATAGATAGATAGATAGACAGAAAGATATAGATAGATAGATAGATAGATAGATAGATAGATATGTGAGGGAAAAGCGAGAGATTCTTGCAGGCAAGTGCGATTCAGTACTTCGGGTACGTCGAGTACTGTGTTTTCCATCCATGGGAATGCCCATTGAGATTGTATAGGAAGACATGCTACAGCCGGCATTTTGAGCGATCTCGTCACCAAGAAGGAGTTTCAGCCGAAAACTCATGAACCTCAAACTTCAGCTCCTCAAGTGGGCCAGTAGACTGGTGTGCGCCAGATGACTAAGCCTTTTCAACTGCCCAAATGTGAAATAATGGGTCAATGAAGAACTGAATAATGTTGATCAGCAAGGCAGCACAGGCATGGCATGAGGTGTCCAGCTTTCCATGACCCATGGCATGGCATGCATAGCATGACCGCAGAGCGCTCTTTTTAGCATAGAAGAAAAGGCGCCACAGTCCCGCCACGCCGTTGTGCGGTTCTTGATGGTGAGCGGAGCCCTGTTCACTGTTCACTCAGGGCATCTGCCGAGCCGCGGCTGCGCTGCGGCTACCTGCGCGCTCCTGCTCGCGGCCGCCTGCGCGGAGCTTGCGGCCCCACCTCTTGCGCTTTGCGCTGCCTGGCGCTACTGCAGCGCCGCCCTTGCACTACTTCTTGGACGAGATCTTCTACTAGTTCTCCTTTCTCCAGGCTCCATGGCTGCTGATGGGAGTGGTGTGATCACCACTGATCGCCACGGGGTTCCCCAGTACGGAGGAGATGTCGACAGCTTTGAAGAGTGTGAAGAGCGAAGTTGGGACCTCTTCTATGGCCGTGAAGGCCAAGACAGCTTGCAGATCGTGACCCCGATCCACCTGTGGCCTACGACGCCGTCCGTCGTTTGAAGCACTCTCAACTCAAGACCTCCAAGGAGGGCAAGGCCACAGACATGGTATGAAGCTGCTGCTTACAACTTTGAAGGACAACATCGCAGCTGAGAAACCTGTCCGTACCAATGAGCTCTTCTTCACTGCCTTCTACTCTCACCATGTTTGGCGGAAGGTCAACGAGAGTATGCAACAGTACATCATCAGGCGGGAGCAGGACTTCAACCGCCTGCAGAAGCCTCCGGCGAAACCCATGTGAGCGAGAACCTCCGCTGCATGATGCTGCTCATCTTGTCAGGTCTTGACCAACGCGAACAACTTGGAGTCCTGTCTAGCGTTGGCAATGAGTATGACTTGAAGAAAGTGAGCCACGCACTACGGATCCAGTATCCATCTGCATCGGGAAAGCCTGTCCCGAGACGTGACTACTTGGGCGCAGCTCGAACTTCCCGACAGTCATGGACAAGCCCTGACCCACGGTCAAAGTGGAAAGGCCATCGAGCTCGCCAGATCCTCACCTCCGAGGTCGTTGAGGACTACGAAGACGCTGATGAAGAGGGCTTCTATGAAGATGAAGAACCTCCTGAAGGAGATGATATGGCCAGTGATGTCTTCATGGGCGAGAGCGATGATGACTTCTTCGAGGCCCTGACGGCCGACATGGCCGACTACGTGGACGACCAAGGACTGGCCAACGCCTTCGCCACGGCGGCCCAGTTTCGTTCCACCTTCGAACGGACCCTATCCGTTCAAGGCCACCAGCGAGTTGAGCTCCGATGCAAAGGCCAAGGAGCAAAGAAAAGCAGCCGTTCGCTTCTTGAAGAGTGTGACGCAATGCACGGCCTGCAACCAGAAAGGGCATTGGGTTGGAGATCCTGAATGTCCAAGCGCCAAGAGGAAGGGTGGAAAAGGCAAGTCATCCTCCAAGTCACCTGGCAAGAAGAAGGGATCAGGCAAGAAAGGTTCCCAGAACCTCCACGTGCACAACGATGCTTCACCCACGGCACGATCCTCCGAGACCTACTTCATTTTGCGCGATGCAATTGAATCGGCCGATGAAGCTGAGGTTCAGTTGACCTTCATGCCTGCCACCAAGGCCAGCGACTCGGACTTCGTCACGAACATCAATGACTTGACTGTGAATGACATGGCCACTGCCACCTCCTACCTCAATGAGGACAATGGCGCGAAAGATGAAAGCTCCAAGGTCAGTCCGACCTGCCTGAGTCCGCCTGCCACTGAGACCAGTGAGGAAACCAGTTTCACCGCTACACGATTTTCCGACGTTCTCGTCGTCTTCAAAGTTAAAGAGACCAAGCTCTGCGAGCATGCCACTTCCAACGGTGGTGATGAGCATCAATATCACCGAGGAGCAAATGGCCACACCAGACACATCGCTTGCAAGGTGTGCGATGCCACAGTCATCGTCGCGCGACGAAAAGTACTGTTCAGCTATGGAGCTATTTGGTTCAGGTTGCTATGTGCACCAAATGGGGCAAGGCATTGCGAGTTGAGTCCCTATTTCGTCGCGCAGGACAACTTGCCCTCACCGAGGCCACGACAAGTCAGGCCCTTCGGCAAGAGAGAAGCCCTACGTCTCAGCATCATCTCAGCCAATACAGATCCAGAAAGGAATTCTACGATCCCTCCAAGATGCACTACCACCGTCTCATGGATCCCTGTACGGTATCCTCTTTGCACCGGGTGTTGAACTACCTGGTTTTCCACCGCTGGCTGAGGAAGATGCTGACATCTTGCAGCCCTTGCCATCCGATGCCATGGTGATGGATGAAGGCCCTTTCATTGATTGACCTCGCGTCCTCTCCAGACAGCGAGGAGTTCTCCACCCAGGTGATGACTCATGCCCTCACGAACCAACCGATGGCACCATCCATCTACAAGTACGCCTTCTACCTCTACGGCAGAACAAGGTTGGCGTGGGGTGCAGCAACACGGATCATGAAGGGACAAGCTCCAAATCCCTCAAAGAGAACGGGCTCACCTGATGATATGAGTGCCACCAGGACGATTCGTGTTCCTGTCCGCTTCGTTGAGTCCGACACCAACAGCGTCCACCCTTTTGACTGTGAGTGCATGATGGTTGATGACAAGACCCTCGAGGCCTATGCGCTACAAGCTGAAGACAAGCCTGGTCTTGCCATCCTGGACTCCGGCTGTTCCAGGACCATGCGCGGCGCTGAGTGGGCCGCTGCCTTTGAGGCTGAGCTCAAGAAGAGAGACCTCCAACCAAATGTCCGCGAGAAGAAGCAGCTGTTCCCTGTCGGCGTTGGAAAAGTACAAGGATGCCTTCACTGAGACCCCTGGCGCTTTGCGTATCTTGATCTCAAGGCCCTTCATGACTGCCTTGGGTGCCATCATCGACTTCAACAAGTACACCGTCAGCTTCAGCAAGCTCAGCATCAAAGATCTCCCACTGGAGAGGACCTCACGTGGCCACATCCGACATGGCCATTGATTTGCTGCAGTTCGATCCCGACGGACAGACCCTCAACATGGTCATCGACGTCAATGGCAAGATCCCAGATCTTGGAGATCCTGTCCCCAGCGATGATGAACCAGACTATGGTGATTATGAGGAGGATCAGGGTGAGCATCAGCCCATCGAGATTGATGATGATGACGGTGAGACTTGGGCCGTGATCGATCCCACTTCGTCCCAACGGGCACTTGAGCCTCTGGAACAGCTCTTGGCAGAAGGTGAACACTGTGATGACCGCGACACCTTCATCCAGCAGAATCTTCCCTTCCGCAAGAGCAGCAATCGGAAGTCAAAGAAGATTGGCAACATCGACCGTGCCCTCGATGGAGAGGGCCTACTCCGACTCCAACGACTCCGTGGCGATCGAACTATACATACCCACGGAAACCTCCAGTCGGCAAGACCTGGATCAAGCAGATCTTTGCAGGCCAGATGGGCATCGCGCTCCTTGCTGTTCTCTTTGGCGTGTGAGTTGGAGTTCCTCCGGACATTAACCAAGGTTGGGATGGTGGAACATCAGACGGTCGCCGCCAGTTGGTGAGCCTCTTAACCTTTCTCAATGATTCCAC